AAAGGCACAGTGTTTGTACCTAGGTTGATGTAATAAACCGAATTAACTGGGTTAATTATAGCACAACAATGTATAATTTTTTACAGGCTTTTTTTCTATAGAAAAATTAAATTAAATCTGAGTTTTAATTAATTACTCTGTGTTTAAAGTGTATATGTAGTCCATTTTAAAATTGGCATTTGCCAAATATAAATAGACAACTGTTCAACCTTTGTAAAGCGAGTATCTTCAACGCGCAGTTGGATCGGATATGTGAACAGTGTTATAACGGTCTTGCGCGCCCTCTAGAGGACAAAGACAGCTACAGCACATTACCAGAGCACAAAAAAAACGACAATTCTGTCAATTTACTCACTCACATATGCTGTTCCAAACCTTGACTTTTTTCCCTGCACAAAAGGATAATTCGCTTTCGTTGTGTGGAAAATAGAAATTAACAATGACTGAGGGAGCCAGTGCATAAGATCTGCTTTTGTGTTTCACAGGATTGGAACTGCATTAGGGTAGGCTATGTAAATCATGGCAGAATGATCATTTATGGGTGAGCTGTCCCTTTAGCAGTAACACAGTTTATAGTTTGCTGATAAACGGCAAATAACTATAGATGTATATTTAAAAAAATAGGCTACTATATTTCTTTAAAAGGTGCCATTTAGCGGCGCCATTTGTAGGCCGAGAGGCATGCAGGCAAATAAAATGTTAGTTTTTATGAAACACAAAAGTCTACATAGATTAATATATAAGGAAGGTTCGAAAATAATCATTAAAAAAAACAGTTTATAAATTCAAGTAAACAGTCTAAAAACATGCTTTACTACTCGGGGTTGAGACGCACTCTCTCTGTTTAAATCTATATTAAAGACACATCTCTTTAGCCAAGCATTCACATAATGTATCTCATAACCTTGTACTTCAGTTACATCTGATCAAATGCACATTTTCATTTTTTTGCTTGGGGTGAACACATCATTTTTGCTTGGTTGGAACAGCAGCTACTCTAATCTCTCTCTATTACCTTATTTGTAACTAGGAATTACACAAGCTTCAGTCTGGATCCAGCCCTTACAAAGACCTGAGATGACCGAACACCTGAGAAGAGATGATGCCAACCCCCCAGAGGACCTCAGATGATGCCAACCCTCAGACAACATACAAAACTACCAAACTTTGCTATAAGTTTGATCGCAACATATAATCATTGCTGTTAATAGTGTTCACCATCTGTTGATTACATGACATTAACTAACTGCTTGGTTTTTACCGTACATTTCTGCCACATGGACATCAACTTGAGATAGTCACCACTGATAAGCTATTACTAAATATCATGTAGAAACTTTAATTTTATGTAAAGCTGCTTTGCAACGATTTGCATCGTGAAAAGCGCTATACAAATAAACTTCAATTGAATTGAATACTACTCTGTTGAAAGTTTTACTACAGGGCTAACGTTACAGAGGCGGCACAAATGCATTTACAGAAATTTAATTTGCACAAATTAATCTTTATAGAAATATGAAATTATTTTACACCGTATCTGGGTTATAGTGCAGCACTTGCCTGTGTCAAACACCTCAAGTTAAATATTGTTACTATTTTCCAACCTGCTGCTCTTTGCATCCTCGTCTGTCTCATGGAGCAACGCTGCCACCTGCTGTTGAGCTGCAGTACTGACTCTGTGACTCTGAGCCTTTGATCATGTAGCCTACATTCATTCCAACTAATGGATTTAACGAGAAAAGTAATGGACGGTTGGATCACAGCAGCTGACATGCTATTCTAGGATATAATTAACAGAGAAGTTCAGAAGATAATACAACGTGTGGTCGTCTCGTCTGACATACAGGTTATGCTCTGACAGGAAAATTACCTTCGAGACGTCTCGGTCATAATCGTCGTTAACTTGACGTAATATCTTCACGTAATATGTTAACTTCAAGTCATATCTAAACTTGAAATAACCATCCTTCATTTTTAAACTGTTAAATTAGTTTGTACCTAAAAGTTGGCAAAGTCGTCAAATAGGCTAACTTATATGAAAACTAGACGAGTGGGCGGAGAAATGATCCTTAGTTTGAAGGACTGTTGTCAAAAAAAGGAAATTAGCTGGCGCTTATTTCAATGCCTCAGCGTCATTGAAATATTCAATGGCGTAAAGAAGTACCTTTGATTAGAAGTAAAGAAACTTCACAGATTTTCTTCCGTCATTTTTAGCCTCTAAATCTCTTGAAGTTGTCAAACTCTTTTGAAAACTCAGGTAATTAGTTTTTAAGTACGCACAAGAGACAAAACTCTCAATATCACCACAAAAGGCTGAAAGACTCACGTTCTGCGGATAGTTGGTGATTTATTTGAGCGTCATCAAGCAGCATCATCAGAAGATCTTATATAGAAAATCAGAAAATCCAGGAATATGACATTCTAAGTCTTCATAGCACCAGTTGCGCTAGCTGCTCTCAATTTTGAGCGGTTGACAGCTGAAAACTTGATAAATGTTTGTGCCACAAGGATATCCTACCGAGTTCTTGTTTTTTGTTTTTTTTTGAAAAAGTATCCATGTAACATAAAATGGAAACAGCCTTGACAAAATCTGCCATATACATTTATCTCCACGGCTAATTACTAAGTAGAAGAGCAAGTGATGACAGCAAATTCATGCTATAAAAAGGAATGTCCAAGTGACACGACAGATGTCCAGGTCCACCGAAAGTACAAAACTAATCCTTAATAATCAAGTAGACACTTTCTTTTCTGGTCAGTGACAATCCTGTCCTGGTCCTGAGGTTCAAGATCCAACTTGCTGGTGTCCAGTTGCCCTCTGACCGCAACTCTTCACGCAATACCCTCCTACTTCGAATAATCCACTACTTTTCCCAAGAGAGAAGAGTTTGGGAGCAGAATCCAACACCGTCCAGAAGTTCTCAAGAATATATAGCTTTGCTCAGATTAAAGAAGAGGGGAGGGGAATGTGAGAGCAAACGAAAAACCTGACAGGTCAGAACACAGGGGAGAGGCCTTTGAGAAAGGTCGAAACGAGCCAGCAATTGCAGGAAGAAGAAAGATGGAAACGACAAACTCGATGAAGAAATGAGGAGCATGAGAGAAATGGAGAGAGTCGGAGAGAAACTGGTGGTTACCAGAACCACCCACTGTGCAGACTGCAAATGAAGAGTCCAGGACCAATCCTTCCCTCCCCTCACTCACAGAGCCATAGTCCTGCACTGCCTTCTAGCCTTTCCACAGCATGAATATATTACTAGCCACACAATGACGTTGCTTATTGTTTATGAATTACTGGCCTGCCTGACAACAAAGGCTATTTTCATAAGAAAACTCTAATTCATTTCAGTTCCTATTTGATTAGAGGCAGAAGAAAAGAAGCCCTTCGGTCATAGCCCCCAGAGGACTGTTTTTATTGAGCCGTTACTGTGAAGAGGCTGTTAGTACCTGGGAGTCAAACTTTTTAACAGTAACAAGATTGTTAAACTGCACAACTGTTGTGTTGGGCTTCAGACTGACCTGAATGTCAATAATAAAGGTCTGAAGCATCTTCAGTGACAAATTGTGATATATTATACTGATGATGGCAAGGTAGCGCTAGATGTGTCCTTTCCACAAAACCAAAGCGTCGCTAAAAGCGACACCCATCTTCCAAACTATATGATGTAAAAAGGTAAGCGAACCGCAGAGAACAAAAATGAAAAGGCCAACCTGGCATTTATCTGCAGGTTTTATCTATACACTAAAGGATAAATCAGGATAAATCAGGGCTTCCTTTTATCAGGAGGGCATTATGCTCCTTTGTATTTATGCAGGAATATTTAACAGGAGACAAAAGGTGACTTTCTCCTTATTCATCTGCGAACAAGACAATGCTGGCATTCTGAAAAGCCTGACATTTGAGTTTTTTGCCAGCACCAGCAAAATTATATCCTTTCCATTGTAAATCAATGAAGTAGAATCATCGCCCACAAAGGGACTAGATTGCCTTGTCACTGTAATAGACCCTGGCGCATGCACAACCTTCACCCAGAACTGTTGTGTGCAGACGAAAGACAAGGGCATAAAGTCACCCTTGTCATTGTGCCCTTCCCCTTGACGGAGTACAGAACTTAAAGCTTAAACTCCTGAGTTGAGCACCCCACACATCTGTTCATTCACACGCAGTTAATACATCTGCAAGATGCGCTATCACATTGCTCATGTGGTAAACATCAGAGGTTAGAGTTGGAGGCTCACGGTTTTCTCAGTGGAAAAAATGCCTACGGTTATAATTGTAGTGAAGTATAAATGAAAAAATAAATGTGAGGACGCATTAAATCGATCAAAACATTGACAGCAAAGACACTTTTTGAACTTTCTATTCATCACAGAAAACTTTGCCATGACAAGAAAAAAATCCTTTAAAAAAAAAAATAGAAGTTAGTTTAAAATGTAATATTATTTAATATTATAATTAAAAGATTTTTACTGATTAAAACAAATAAATGCAGCCTTGGTGAGCATAATAGACTTCTTTCAAAAACATACTAAATATCTTTAGTATGTTTGGACATCTTTTTTTTTTTAAGTGTATTATGACGTCATTTTAAAGCCAAACTGATGCCAATGAAGTAGAGAAGCAAATAAACAACTGTCTTTATTTACAGAATTAATTTACAGTAACATGGAGCCGAGGTAAAGAACGGTAAATAAATATCCAACATGAATTCTGATGAGGCTATTCTATTAGTGTTGTGTAAGAGGAATAAATGTCAAGTACAGTAATAAGTCACAGACAGTAAAGTCCATAAATAAGAGTTTGGCTTTTGTTTTGGTCTCACTAAGTAAGTGACACTGAAATGTATACAGACATAACTTGCATGCTTAAAAAAAATAATCCCAGGAATCATAATATTGAACTTCTGTCACAGCTTGAATTACAATGGCACCTAAAACATGTACTAAACATACTGACATATAAGCATAAGCGCCATGTCCCGCATTCAACATTTAGCGTGACATTTGCTATGCTTGTACACACTCACTCTGATTTAATGATTAAGTATCAACATTTGAGTCATTTGTAAACGATAATTAAATGGAATGAAAAAGTTCTCGGTACCACATCATGGAAATATTCACAGATTCAACATTAAATCAGAGAGCATCTGAATAAAATGTATTTAAAAATGAAACTTAACAGTAAAATATGATGATGTCTTGAACCTTTGTAATGACAAAGGTAATATAGAAAAACAGGACACTCAAAATCCCAAACATTAGTGGGATGTGTAGACTGCGGTACTGTCTATCTCAACACCTTAACATCAGGTGAAAGATGAACTCGTCAGGGAAATTCATAGGTTACACTCATGCCACCCAATGAGATTAAGCTATGACTTCAAGCAAGCAAGTCACGTCATGATTGTTCACCAAGAAATTAGTGGTTTTAAATTTCTTCAGAATTTCACAAGCCAAATAAAAAATGAAAATAAAAATCTGCTTTGTGTAGATGCACTAAAAGACCATCTTTTAGATCTTACATCAGAATGAGCCATATAAGGTATACTCATAAACATCAAAAGTGGTTTTAATGTAAGAAAACATATGATAATTTGAACGTTCTGGTTGAACTTCCAGGCCATTTTAACCATTAATGTAAAAGAATGAAAACTAGTAAGGGGCAAGATTGTTATCATAAATTGGTCTCATCCCAAGAAGGATCGTTTATATTCTTTAGCATTTTTCTAACTATCCTCTCCAGATCTTTCCGGGCTCTCTGCTCTTCCTCCAGGGATTTCTTCATTTTTTTATAGTCCTGTTAGAATGGTAAAATCGTGTAAGCAGGAAATGGGAAATATTAAATATAGTTTTCTATGAATTTGAATATTAGGGAAAACCCTCCTCCGACCCCCATAGACACTCACCTGTTTAAGTTCTTGTACCTCAACTCTCAGAGCATAAACAACATCCACAAGGCTCCTAGGAAACATTGAATATCAAATATGTCAGTAAATATGTTTTTAATGCATATTGTAGCACTATTCAATTTGTGTTCTCTTGACAAACATCCCTCTTTTTATTCCCATTATGAACCCTGTTCTGGGAATGGACAAATATGTGGTCTTACTTCTCCTCTGGAAGAGTCTGACCATTACTCTTCAACTCGTCTACACTGAACTTCTCCTCCCCAGGAACTATCAGTGCTGGACTGGCATCTTTCCACTGTCCTGTTTCAAAAGAGAAGCCCCGCAGATTGATTTCAGGAGGTTTAGTTAAGTTGGACTAATTGATTAGGTCAGTACAGGACCACCGTGCCTCAGAAAATGGTTTGGACTGGATCAAACTTACACAGGACTGTGCGTGAGTGAGACAGGAGTTAGTCATGCAGAAAGGGATCATCCAAGAAAACTAAAAGCATTCAAAAACCAGAGTTTTTGAAAAACCAAATCAAGGGTTTCCTGAAGGGTGGTAAAACTACAAATTTCCTCAACCACAAAACCAAACCCGAAAAAGACAAAACAAAACAAAAAGAAAACCCATTAATTGAAAATAGGCAGTAAATTTATACAAAAGAAAAAAAAAACAAATCAAACAAAAACCAAACTTTTGTTATAAGAGATACATTTTTGAAAAGATAAAAATACTGTACAAAACAACCCAAGATTTATTCAAAATGTATATTACAATGTTTGTGGTATTTTGTCATATTTGACTCTGCATATATATAACAAACACAATAATGTCTTAATTTCAAACCACGTAAACATCACTGAATTATCTCTGTTGAGCGCTTTTAAGAATATCTGAATGAAACAACCGACAAAAAGGTAGTAAATTCATATTTTCCTGTTCTTTTTTTAACCACAGAATATAACTTGGTCACAAGAAATCACATAACATGAGGAATTATACTCTTTGTTATTATTGAAATAATTGGCAAGTCGATTTTCTTGCTTCGTCTCATAAACACGTCATACATAAAAGAGGAAAAGCATCAGACACTGAGGCTTTGACAGAGTCTCGAATGAACAGTGAATAACTCTTGACTATTACCATCCACACACCTGATTGAATGGATTCTAATAGAATTTAAACCAACATTAAATTCAACATTTTTTTTAAACTTCCATACATTTTTAACCATAGACACCACTATAAACTTACATGTTAGATACAAGCATACAAAAAGTCAAAACTCATTCAAAATACATTTACAAATTGAAAATAAATACATTTATATCACATAAGTATGATCAAAATGTCCCCAGTAATACTGTCCGTGGTGCCATCTGAGAACCATAGTTATAAATTCCTCTCATTCATGAAGCTCTGGTAAAACACCCAACTTCTCATTTCAATCTAATGTTCACATTCAGTAAACAAAGTCTAAGTTAACACCACACATTTCAGATGAATGACAATACTCTAATATTTACAGAAACTTTTTTTTTTGACACTTTTACAGCAGAACCTGTCCTTGTTGCCTTCAGAGTGCATTGTACCTTCAACAGCGTTAACAATGAAATACATCTGGGAATGAAAACATCATTTTTTTAAAGGACACTTACATAAATATCAAATGCGAGGCAAACAAAGAAAGAAAAAAAAACTGAGTTAAGTGAGGTTGGTGGTTTCAGGGGGAGTTAAGATGTCAAGGCAACAGGGAACTGCTTTGGGAAAGTGCATATATATGCAGAAAAATAATGATGAGGTGTGATTAATACGACACTAAAAAATAAATAAATAAAAATGAATAAAATAAATATGTATTACAGTGACGGATCATTAAATAAATAAATAGTTTCAAATAAATATAAAGTCACTTGAAATAAGAGGAGTGAGGGGGAGTTTAATTTTGGTGGGAGATGTAGGAGCTCTTACGGGAAACAGAGCCCATCCTGTAACTGTGGGCCGTCCATATACTGTCATAGTCAGAGTCCTCTGAGAGGTCCGAAGTGGCCTCGGGCCTCGAGATACTGCTACGGCGGCCCAGAGAGTCCACACTGGATTGATCCAAAACGTGGTTATGCATGAGATCAGTGCCTTGCCATGCTGAAGAGGCCATCCGTTCGCAGATGATGAGAGGGGGATCAAATCATACGAATGAAGGGACGGAGGGAGAATTGCAAATGGAAAGAGGGGTCGAACAAAGAATGGATGTGGGTTGTGCAACCACACAGACGGGAGAACCAGTTATACCCCAAGAGAGTAAATGAGTTTTAAAAATAAATGATTAAATAAAAAATGATGTGTGAAGATGCCAAAATCAAAACATGGGGAGGAGGGGGTCATGATAAATAAATGAACATTAAGTATGATGAGGAAAAAAGAGAGAGGATATTGTTATAAGAGATCCCAGAATTATCAACAGGCTTTAGTTTATTTCTATGTTACACATAGAAAAGTAGATATGAATGAGGAATGTCTTAGAGGAAACAAGACGGAGGTGAACAGGCCCGTGTACGAGACTTACTTGAGTTCAGAGTCTGTCTGGTTTTGGCACTCGTGCAGTAGGCCTCGATTACTTTCAGGATCTGAGCATCTTCCTCCAAAGCTACAGTACCTGCGCAGGTCAGAGGTTACATCAGACGCATGATCTTTCAGAAACTCTCAAAATCAGTAACAATATAAACCAGCTAACTTACTCTTCCTCAGTGCAAACTCCTCATCGGACGGCTTCCTCTCTGGCTTCCTCTTGGGCAGCAGCTTTTTCATAGTCTTGGGGCTTTTACTGAGGTCCTGGAAGAAGAGAAGGAACAGAAATAATAGAAAAGGGACACAGAAGTTGGTCAAACTGAGACTTACAGAGCCATGAGAGAGTGTAGTATGATGTTATTTATTTAAAGAGTTGCATTAATTAGTGTTCACATATTAGTATCAAAATAATAGTGACCACAATATCAAGGGAAATAATCCACAATTACGATGTCTGTATTATATTATACTACATTTAATATTTTTTACAATATTTTATTTGGGAGTCCAGCAAGCTGCATAATCAGCTTTAATCTGAGCCCAGAATACCTCTTTATAGCAGAGAGCAGCTGAGGGCCTGAGTGGAGGTGCTGGACGCAAGCAGCTCAGGCTCCAGGGCTTCTGGGTTTTGGGGGGCTCCAGGGGGCCCCACATCATAGTGCTGTGAGGGGCCCCATGAGAGGAGGGGTGTGGTAAGGTGTGGTAGGCAGGAGCAACTGTCAGGCCCCGGCTTTCTGCATGTCTGGATGGCGTCAGAGGGTGAGACGGGAGCTGGAGGGGTAAAAATTAAGTTAACCTTTAAGTTGAAGATACTGGACAGGCAAACCTTAAACCCTAAATAAATTAATCAAATCAATCAATTTAGTGTGTTCTATTACACTTGAATATATTTTGTTAAGTTCTTAAACTTTCTTAAACATAAAGTTCTTTATGTCTGTGTTTTTACTTTTTTGCAAAGCTTTTTGTGCACCGATAAGTGTGAATATCTACACCCGTTCACTGCCATTCTAAAGCTTGGAAGAGCCAGGACATTTTTTAATATAACTCTGATTGTATTCCTCTGAAAGAAGAAAATCATTTACACCTAGGATGGCTTGAGGGTGAGTAAACCATGGGGTAATTTTTCATTTTTGGGTGAACTATCACTTTAAATACTATATGTGTGGTTTTCTAAGATGTGATGTTAAACAGGTGACCCACTGTGTGGCAGGGAACAGTGAGGGGTTTCATGCTGGGAGCCACCATGGTGGGGTGCTTGGTCTGTCGGTTCAGATGCTCGAGCCAGTCCTGCAGATCCTGTTTGTTATAGCAGATCACCTGAAGTCTCTCGAACATGCTTCCTGTTGAATGGACACACAAGCAGAGTCAATGAATGACTAAGAATGATCAAAAACACTTGACTGTGTCCTGAACACAAAAGATGCGAGACAGTTTGTCCTTACCTGAAAGCTCAAAAGCATTTTTATGACTTTCACAGTCTTCTAATGGGGTCACCGTCATCCCGCTCAAAGGTAGCTTGCCCTGAGAGAAACAAAGCAGACGTTTTCTCTTTGTGCTAGAGCCGCAAGTGCCATTTTAATGTTTGAAAAGCTGTGGTTTGAGTGGATTTTAGGGGATGGTGGAGCGAGGGCAGTGAGAATTATTTGGCTGTGTAGTAATCATTTCTGACAGCGGCTGGTTTCTGACCTGGAAGATGAAGCCACTCATCCTTGGACTGGCAGACAGGATGAGCAAAACGTGAGGAAACAGCAGAAGGTAACGTTCATGCTTATCCTAAAAAACAATATGAAAAAAATTGTAATACCACACAGCCATTATAACTGTAGGACTGAAATCACAGAGAAGTGGATTTTAGGGGATGGTGGAGCGAGGGCAGTGAGAATTATTTGGCTGTGTAGTAATCATTTCTGACAGCGGCTGGTTTCTGACCTGGAAGATGAAGCCACTCATCCTTGGACTGGCAGACAGGATGAGCAAAACGTGAGGAAACAGCAGAAGGTAACGTTCATGCTTATCCTAAAAAACAATATGAAAAAAATTGTAATACCACACAGCCACTATAACTGTAGGACTGAAATCACAAAACTATTGGCATTTTTGTCAATATGAATCAGCAATAGGTCTTTTTGAAACATGTTATTTACTTGTAATGCATTCGTACTGTAAATAGCATGTTTACAAGACTCAGGACAACTTTTTTCTCTTTTTTTTCCTTTTTTTATAACACTTGTATCCAGAAAATGAAACATGATTGATTCATATGGAATTCTGAGCCATAAAAACCCACATCACTACTCACTTACTACTTACCACATCAGTACTTACCACTACTTAATAATAACCTTATTAACAACAGTAATTATACAAGGCTACCTAAACACTACTCATAGTCGTGGTTGCATCAACATGTTATACATTTTATTTTATCAAATTATTTCAGCATATTTTTATTTTTCAATCAGAATGGTTTGACAACTTGTCACTCCCAGACATGGGGCATGTGATTGCAAACAAACATTTTGTCAGAGGGTTTTGTCTTTACCATAAGAATTTTTTTAGATTTAATAGAAGAAGCCACTCCAGAAGCTACTTTAATAGTTAAAGTAACAATGAAACAAGCAGCAACAGATCTGTTCTTCTATATTTTGATGTACACCTGAGTAAAATGGATTATCAAAAAAGAAAATGCAGGGCAGAGTTTTATCCATTGGTTGTTCAATGAAGGAAGATCTGAATGCGAGCTTGCGGTTGATTGCAAGAAAGGGGCGGGGTTTAAGCAGACTAAATCATTTGAGAAGTCCCACATACACTGCCGTTGAAAAGTTTGGGATCAGTAAGATTTTT